GTGTGCTCTGGCTTCTTGCAGTGCACCTACATCAAGATTGAGCAAGTCGAAAAGACCCACGCCGTGGTCCTGAGCCGCCCCTCCTGGCTCTGGGGGGCAGAGATGGGGGCCAACGAACACGGCGTGTGCATCGGGAACGAAGCGGTGTGGGGGAGAGAGGAGGTCTGCGACCATGAAGCTCTCCTCGGCATGGACCTCGTAAGGTTTGCACGGGCTGCTTCGGTAGATGGTAGTGAATTCCCAGTTTCATGTCAAAACGTTTGCCTTGAGCGGTGCGGGGAAATACGTGCTTTCACTTTCAGAAGACACCTCTGTCTCTTCTGCTGTTCTGGCCGTGGTTAAAAATAAGTGTTTCTTGGCACAGGCATTAGATCTCTGCAGGAGCTGGGAGCCCGTGCGAGGTATCAGGTGCTAGAACAGAATGTGTGAAGGAAATCACCAAATGTTTTTCTCTCTACAAAGTTTGTACTAAACTGAAACAAGACCCTTAACTATAGCACAGCTCGCCTTCAGGAACTAGTGTTTGGGCCTTTTTCTGGGGTCTGCTCTCGCTTCCCACTTCCCCTGCCTTTTACACACATACTTTCAAGTTTCAGTTTTAGCCATGCACCTCCACGTAAATAATGACAGCTTGTTTTGCCTGCCTTACTGGGTGCCAGTGTAACTCTCATTAACCTACAGCAGTCAGTCAATTCTTCCTGGTAGTGTTTCCCCCTAGTCCAGTACCCACACAGGACTTGGAGGTGTTTCCTAGGAGCCCTCTCCCTGCCTTTCTGTATTTCCATTTGGTTGTTTTTCCCCATGTCAAGGACATACAGGACCTACTTCAAACAAGCCCTTTAAATGGCTTGCTTCTTTCTCTGACCGCATCATATAAGCATCAGGTACATACAGAAATAGCATTCCAATTCAGTTTGAATACTCAGGCTGAATAGTTGTATGTCAAGTTTACAGTTCGATACAATAACATCTTCCTTTTGTTTTAGGCTTGGACTCGAGAGAGCAGACACAGCTGAAAAGGCTCTTACCGTCATAGTTGATTTGCTAGAAAAATATGGACAGGGAGGAAACTGTATGGAGAGCCACATGGTATTTACATACCATAACAGTTTTCTGATAGCCGACAGAAAGGAAGCATGGGTGCTGGAGACATCAGGAAAATACTGGGCAGCAGAAAAAGTAGAAGGTATGGGTGATGCTCTTTGCTTTAAATATTTCAAATGCAATGACAGTTAGCGGTTCTCCACTTTTCATTTACCATTTCCTTAAAGCGTCAAACTACCTTCCAGATATGTACGTGCGGCTGTAAACAACAGGAGTTGCTTCCTAGGGCATCAGTGTGGAGAGGCTAGCAGTTTCACAGGAGGTGAGTCACAGGGGGCCTTCTCAGAGTCAGAGATGACCACCTCCGCACTTGGAGAACAGCGGACAGCAAGGTCAGCATGAGAATGACAGCTGTATGTACGGTCTTAAGGATGGTGGCAGTCGATGACAATTTCATTTGGCGACAGGGTAATACTGACAGGACTGGTGCCGGGGGCCCTGAAGTGGCTGATTCCACCAGTGGACTTAGAAGGACAAGCTATGTCTTTGGAGGTCTAAGAGGAAGAATGTAAAGATGCAAATAATCAGGACAGAACCTGAAATACGGTGTTTGCAATAGAAGTAAATGAGTCAGAACTGAGTGGCAGTGGAATTTCAGTCAGAAGGATACATACAGCCAGGGAGAGAGGGCCAAAAATAAACCACAGGACTCACAGATCTTACAGGAAACTCTTTGGTGCATAATTTGCTTTAGTAAGCTAACTGTAAATAAAATACCAAGAAAAAGCATTCGATGTATTAAAATGATTCTTTCTTCATCTTGCAAACAGGAGGTGTACGGAATATTTCCAACCAGCTCTCCATCACAACCAAGATTGACAGAGAACACCCAGAATTGAAGGAATATGCCAAAAGCAAGGGCTGGTGGGATGGGGAAAAGGAATTTGATTTTGCTGCCACATATTCTTATGTAAATACTGCCAGAATGACCACATCCAGAGGCCGATACTGTGAAGGCTATAAACTTCTGAACAAACACGAAGGTATAATTTTGGATAATTTTTTTAATGATATGCAAAGCATTTTGTGAGCTACATTAAATCATAAATGATTAGACATCTGATGCAGGCAATCATTCACATGATTTGGTGAACCAGAACTTATTAGAATAATTTTTTGCCTAAAGGAGAAATGCTGAACTTGAAGTCTTCTATCCATTTTTGCCAATTTGTTGATGAGGAAAAATTAAAACAAGGGTCAAATACCAAACACACACAGCTACAGTAACAACACCAAGGGGACACTTTATGACCGTACAGCTAAATACTTCATAAGACCTAGCTCTGAAACATTTAGACAGAGGTACAGTTAATAATGTATAGCCTAAGAAAAAAAAAAAAAAAGAGACTAAAATAGACTCCCAGTGTTTTGCAGCCACAGACAGAACCTTATGAACAACTTCAGTCTGGTACCATTCATATAGGCCTAAAACAACAGCACAGCATTCAGATATCTATCTTGCATTTATTTTTTGAGATTGATTTTTTTAAATCTTTGTAGTTTCACTGTAAGTGCTACTCTGACCCTGTGTAGTCTAATAAAACACTCTGAGAACAGAACAGAATAATTTTCTGTACTCTAAGCAGGTGCTCCTAATCACTAACTTATTCACTTATTTTTCAGACCTCTGTAGAAAGAAGCTATTAGTTCTCTTTTAACTGCATCCACCTGGCAGGTTTTTGCTGCATCTGTATTCACTTGCTCATTTGAAGTAATTAATCTGAACCAAAATTACACTGCACCCCTGTGTTTTTTTATTTATTTGGCTGAGCTCTGCCAGGTCAGGTTTAGCATTTAGTTAATGCATCAGAATGAATTACCTTTTGCTATCCTGCTCTAGTGATCACGTAAATCCTGCATTCATTTTGGGAATTGCGGATTCTGAATACTGAAAGCATTTTCATAATACCTGTATTTACTTGCATTACAACAATGCTGAGATTCTATCAGTGTTTTCATTCTAAATCCCCATTTTGAGGCATTTACCTGAGCCATTTTAAGAATCACACTAGGCGTTCAGGTTATCAGCCTCATATGGTTTCAGTTTGTTTAGATTTATTTTAAATAGGTGTCCTAACTAAAAGCTATTTGGTTTACAGCATCAGTAAAATCACTGGTTTCTTCATCTACCCTTCCCAGCTTTTTCATTCAGTGGCATTACAGTTTTTTTTCCAGGCTGCCTGCCATGTGAAGACCATTTTTAGATAAACATTATTTATATGTCGAAAAATAGGGAATGTATTTCAGGAATACAAAGTAATAAAAAAGTCTAGTGGAAAATATGCAATACCTTCTTTCCTGCTAGACAAGTTGTCAACTTGCAGTCAACAAACTGAATGTTGCTTCTTTGAATTTCTTTGATTCATCTGGCTTTTTTTTTTGAATTGTCTGACTTTCCCAGGCAACTGTGGGAATACTTAAGAGTGTTTCCGTGCTGAAATGTAGTGCTGCATGCATGTCTACAGGCAATTTGAATCGTGTATAAAAAATAAAATTGGAGACATCTGAATTAGCAGCAGGGTGATTATTTTGAGAGGGAACAGCAAGGCAGTGTAAAAAGAATCTTTATGCAGCTAGAACTTCACAGAGGGAAACACGAAAAGATTAAATGGTAGATGATACCTTCAAGTTAAAAAAAAACAGTGAATGAACTCATGCATTTCTGCCACGAGCATACACTCAACTGGTACACCAAGTTTGAAAAGAAAATTACTGCAAGTGCTGCCTGTTAGAATATTGGATTGCCTAGTGATGCCATGCCAGCATTTAAGCTCCAGCATACACAACATGAACAGCAGTATCATTTCAACACTAGATGCAGAGGCATCTGTGGAAAGGGTTTTGTTTCACCTGACTGAGAAGAAAATTACTTTCATAGAGACACTTGGCACTATACCTCACACAGCTAGCTGATTAAGACTTCTTTACCAATGGATGTGCTATTGTAGTTTATGTTTCTGAGTATAGAACATGTTGTTACTCCAGTGCATCTTTTCAGTTGTCAGCTTGAAGCCTAAGTGCATTGGAAGGTCAGATGATTAAAATTTTTAAAAAAAAGGAAAAAGTAGTAATAGTCTTGTTATTCATTTTCAAAGTTACACACAAAATCCATGCACAGTTGTTGTCATTTTCAAATTTTCAAAACAACCTAATGATATTAACTGTGTACCAATACCAATAACTATTATTTATCTTAACTTACACTCAGTGCTCAGAAAGTTCAGCCTTCAATCCAAGCTACTAATTTGATTCTGAAAAGTTACTGTGTGAACGACCATTTGCTAGCCATATGTATTTTACCTTTCTGGGAAACATTGTGTGTTGTTGTCCTCACCCTCTTCTAAGTCATAAATGTTATAGCTCATCATCACCTACTCTTTGAAATAAATTCTTTGGGGAAAACAATAATAGTTTAAAGTATATTGAAGTATGCTATTAGAATCATTTTTTTCTTCTGCCAACACAAACTAAAATTGGCATTGCCTATTAAAGGAAAAAGCAGCCAGTTATAGAGAGCATACCATTTAGTCGGTGTTCTAAGTAGCGCTGTGTGTAAATAATTGTATTGTATCTTAAATAGGATCTATCACTTCTGAAATAATGATGGAAATTCTTCGTGACAAAGAGAGTGGCATTAATATGGAAGGTGGATTTATGACAACTGGAAGCATGGTGTCTGTATTGCCTCAGCAGCCTAATCTGCCATGTATTCACTTCTTTACTGGAACTCCAGATCCTGCGAGGTGATGTAGCAGCAAGTAATTATGATAAAAAGTTGCAAATATCTAAATGAAAAGCGGTGCAATTTGTCTAATTATATTCCTCCTTGCTTTACTTTTTTTCTTTTTTCTTTTTTTTCTCCTGAAAAAGCACAATCAGAAAGTAGGAGGAACATAACGTACATCATGTACCTTAATGCTATCTACCAACCTACTTAGTGAAACACTGCTATGACACTGACTTAAACATCAGTTACGAGATTTTTTTGTTTGTTTTTTTAAGACTTCTTTCTTAAAAGAAGGAATTTTAAGAATGGGGAAAAAAATACAGCAATCTACTGACTCGACAATGTTAACAAAACTGTATCAGTAAAGGATCTCTGTTCTATTTTCTCTTTCTAGGTCTGTATTCAAGCCTTTCATTTTTGTGCCCAATATTACTCAGTTATTAAAAACTAGCTCCCCTACATTTGGTCATAATGATCCAGTTAAGAAGCAACCACGTTTTCAGAATAAGCCAGATCGAAGACATGAGCTCTATAAAAAACATGAAAGTGCTGCTGTAGTTATGGAAACTATCGAGGTACGTTGATTAAATTAGATTTCAGTGCAAGCAGGTGGTTTATATAAGCTCCTTGCTCACATTTTGTTAATGTGATACCATTTAATGCCCTTTGATGGATTGTGAAGAACACTGTAGTGCACCAGAAGCCCACTGTCTTGGCATCTGGCAGGCATATGTTTCAAACACTAAAAATTACAACTAGCACTTTGCTGTACCCCCAGGCCTAGCCCCAGACAAGTATCTGTACTGCTCATCTTGCAAAGCAGCAGGTCACACATACTCCTGCACTAGTCAGACATTGGGGAAATGCTTGAGCAGCCACAGGCAAATATACAGCTCCTGATTAGAGTACTTAAAACTCTTCAGGACCCTGGGCTCAGGCAGTAAGGAGGGCATGCCTTTTATCATTGCTTGGTATGGGCAGGAAAGGAAACAAGATCACAAAGACAGCTGGACACAAAGGTGAAGCAGGGAGGTAGTTGCTTACTTTTTTACATCTCTCCTGTTTACAGATCCGTGTTCTAAAAAATAAGACATATGCCCACTTACGTTTTGGTAGTACAAATACCTAGAGCAGCTTTAATGTTGTTTATTTTCAATCCATCAGGCAAGGATGCAGGGAGATGAAGTGAGTGCTAGATATTAGGAAAGATATCTAAGAAAACCTGTCACGGTGCTAACTCCTACCAACACAACCTTGTACCCTAGAAGCTATGAAGAGGTTAAAATAAGGACAGTAGAACAGAATTTTGTTAGAGCGAACACTACGTACTCTATAGTTTTTAGTGAAATACAGACATTTGTTTTTGCAGGGCAAAGGTAAAGAGATGCTGAAAGAGATACAGGAGTTGGAGAAACGGAAGATAAGTGAAATGGAATCAATCCTGCAAACCGGATGTCTTGACATTAACCAAGTGGTTAACCTTTTTTCACAGTGCGTAGAAGAAGAACTGAAAATATATAGCTAAAACTACTAAAATGTTGTAAAATTCAGGTTTGTGATTAACTTTTCGAATGAAGTGGCTATATAGATTATATCTTGTTTTCACTATACCAGGTTAGTATGGACAGTTTTAAAGATGCGGATTCATTGCAGAACAACTCTGCCTCTGGATGAAGAATACAAACACAGATTTGGAGAACTCCCTTCTAGTGTACACACATGTAGCTTTTATAGTCACGATAATCATAGCAGAATTTCACATTGCCTGAATTAAAATGGCCATGCTGAAGGACTTTCTAAAGTGTAGAAGCTATTACTTGCACTGAAGAAAAAAAAGGAGTGTGTTATGCAAGTCAAGTAAGATTAATATTCAGTTGTTTGATAAAACCGTTTTAAGATAAGTTTCATATATGAACCTTCTACTCTTTCAATGTAAAATGAGGCTGAGTTTAAGGTATATTAAAACCAAATCACAGTTACAATTTTACCATGATTTGTTGTGAAATCTGATTACATGGATTCAACAATGCAAGCATCCTGCACATTACCACACAATTTTCACTTCCCTGTCTATCTTCCCTACCCTGATACTGAAAAATAAATTAACTTATTTACATACAATATGATTATTGTCAAATTAATTCTGCAATACACTTTATAACATCATGTGGGAGTTTTTAATGTTCATGAATTGTTACTTTTTTAAAATGAGGCAACTAGAAAGGAAGAGGTTGGGGTACACAAGTATATACATGTACTCAATAGGACACTGAAAAGGACTTTTAACATTTTTTCACTTCATATGAAGTCTTTTAACCATGACTTGTCTTGCCAAAATTACTAGACTATGGAGTTGATTTAATCAAGCTTTTTGCCCTGCCAGGAACTCTTCCTCCCTGATCCTGTTTAAAAGTAATGACCAGTATGTGACTACTTTTATTATCTGTGGCAAGGGACAAACTGAGCAAACAACAAAGAAGATTCTGACTTCGCTACATGATCAAGCAGGATAAAAAAGTATGACTGGAAGGAAAAAAAAGCCACCAGCGCTTTTGCAAACCTTCAGAAGAGAACATGTAACATGAAATGGAGCATTACAGCTGCAGTAGCAGTATGTAACATGACCGAGCATCCCCACAGAAAGACACAGCAGACCACAGAAAGACCATTCTTTGATCATATTTCTGTATTTAGTCAGTTTCAAGAATCATCTCAGATGCTAAAGACAGCACTACACATACGCAGTTTTCTCATGTTAGAAACTGTTCTATCCCCCCACTGGTAAAAAAAGTATAGGCGAACAAAAGAAATACATATACAATGAAGTAATGAGTAAGAAAATTAAGAGCTTGGCAGAATTTGTTCTTCCTGACCCTACAATGAAAGTAGAACTTAGTTTGGGACACTGTGTTCAGATCCACAGCAAAAAAATTAATGGGTCAGGAAAGGTTCTTGAACTTTCTAGTTCTAGCGATCCTATGTGTACCAAGTGGCAGTAGCAAGTAAGCTTGAGTAGCAGGTAAGACTGGAAGTAAGCTTGAGTTGACTGTGAACCTTTTGTGCCTGTGTTGCCAACAAAATTTCTTAGAAGTTCAATAGCACAGTGGATGTTCATGAACTGGAAGATGTATTTAATAAAATTTTGCTGTATTAACCCATTTTCCTCATGAATGTCTATATCTGACAATTGTGTATCTTTATCCTATTTTGGATCATCAGCTGTTCCACATTAGCTCTTTGATAACTTCAAAGCAGCAATAAATGCCAGGTAAAACTGTGATGGAAACCAAGGTGTGAGTCAAATTTACAGGTTAGCATAGCAAAACAAGAGAAACAATTTTATGCTACAACGCAAATGTAGTGAAGTTACACAGGAATGAAAGTAGTGAAGGTCTTTAAGTGAACTTCTTAGCCACTTAATCATGGGGTGGCAATTAACCAGGTTAAGCATATTGGTCTGGTTGTAATATAGGCAGATACAGTCTGACTGTTTCCCTAGTTTCTGTGCTACACGATATAAAGTAAAAACAACATGTTGTGTGGAGATAGATCAAGTGATGGCCAACAGAGTATAGGATATTTTCGTACCTTTTTTTCCCTGGGATTTCATCCTACTAGAACACATGCAGTGTAAAAACAGAAAATGAAGATGAAGTCAGGAGAAATAAATAACCCTCCCTCCCACAACCATACATCAATTAAAAAAACCCAAAAACCCCCCAGAATGTCCTCTAGAGGGCAATCTTTGCATGTGTTTCATCTAGAAAGACATCTTACAGCTTATTTTAAAAGGTCTAGAGTTTTATGAAGGATCATTATTTAAAAAGTACTAAAATTGCTACGTAGAAAACTAGAAGCTTGATATCCACCCTGTCCATTATCACAATTATTTTGAGATTAGTGCTAGAAAAAAGATCCAGTGTTTCACAGGAGACTCCCCTGGACTTGTTCAGTGGGTGTTTTCATGGAACTGTAACGTCCAAGTTAACTGAGGTTTCTCCCAAACTAATCCACCTTCACAATAAAAGAATTCATTGAACCACTGACCACATCTTTAAAGCAAAGCTATTTCTAACCACCAAAAATTCACACATCAGTAGATCCAACTATTGACATACATCAAATTGTCAACTATTTTAAAACTTGCCAGTGCTCCTTGGTGGAAGCAAATATTTATCAGATAAAAAGAGTTATTAAACTTTCTAAAGCTATTCAAAGTCTATTTGTAGCTTCCAGAAGTACCCAGTGATACAGAAATAGATTATCATATCCTGTATTTCATTCCTTGTTTCTTTAGTCTATTTATTAACCATCATAGACTCTTACCGGACTAATGTGTATGATACCAGCAGTCACAATGTTGTTAACGGTTAATCTAACAGAATTTGGTGTCAGTTGTCAATTAAAGGTGTTACCTTCATTAGATTTGTAATGGCGAGCCTTCTCTATGCAGAAATTTTGAGCAATTTCTTAGTTAAACCAGACACATGTTCAAATCTAGGGAATAGCAGAGCCATTATAAAAACAGAGGCAAGGGCATGACTTTATGATGAAAATGAGAAAGACAGCAGTGCAAGAACAATGACTATGCATAGGACTGTGAAGCTGACCTAAGAGCAACTTCTTGAACATTTGAAAAATTTAAAAAAAAAAAAAAAAAAGAAAAAATTGTATTTGGTAAGTAGATGATAACATGAAATGTTACTAAAGATTTGTTTAGGCTGTTAGACGAAAACTGGTATCTTTGTGTGAACACCCATTAACAAGTCCTCTGCCTTCTTAAAAAGCATCAACGGTGGATTTAAGAAATACCAAACTTGACACCCATGAGCCACTTCAACAAATCTCTCAGAAAAACACATTTGTCATAAATCTTGACTTGCACATGTAACCCTCCCACACCTCATATCACATCAAAACTCAGAACTCTGAAATCAAGTAATCAATTTATTGACAAGTTACAGTATTTAGAAGCCAGACATACTCATGGCTTCTACTCTTAAGTCACATGTATCTAATTATTCGAAAATATTTGATGTAGCCATCTTCAGCAGTTGTAATGGAAACACACTATTGTTTTCCTTTGTGACCACAGCCCGATACAAATGTCAATTATTTTGTTGCTGGAAAACATCAAAATATGTCAGTTTGTACAGCATACATATGCAGTAGGATGCAGTTATGTTTCTGTGCACACTGCGGATGTGCAATAAGACTGACAGCAAAAGGAACTATTTTTTCCAATATAAGTCTTGCATGGAGTTATAGCTACCATAAAACAACTGTTTCTTGAAGAGCAGTTTATGCTGCTAAAATCACTTTTCATTATTAATACAAAGTAGATGCATAAGTAGCTATAATAAAAATCTGTGTACTAAAAAAAAAAAAGAAAAAAGAAGGGAAAGACTTTTTAAAAAAAACATGAGAAGAGTTATTCATATGCTTGAGCAAATAATTTTTAATACCTGGGTTCCTTTCCCTCACTATATAAAATTTTTATATAGCCATATAAATGCTGTTCTTGCAGTTTTAAAAGGGCAGCATAATGGCTATCTCATACGACAGTTTGTCTTTAACCTTTTCAAAATACTGCAGAAGACACACAGATTCTCAGATTCTGCCTTCAGTGCACAGGAATCTGAGTGACACTAGAGTAACTATTTAAACATCGTAGGGGGATACCTGAGGCTTATTAGAAACCTGTGTTAGGCAATCAATACTACAATTTTAGGATCTTTAGCTACTCTAAACCCGAGCTTGGATGTTCAGTTAGGATTCTTTATATAATAGGTTTAAAAGTCATTGTATTTCATTTAAAAGGTTTTATGACTTGATAAAATTTTTCATCTTAACTTGCACAGGCATCCAAGGCTTCCATAACATCTTTATTTAAGGCTGGCACTTCTGAATTAAACTGGGAAGGCTAATTTCAGAAGGTAAAAATCTACTTGACAAAGCTGTTACTAGCACCACAAGGCAAAACTTCAGAACCAATTGTTTATACAAAATCCCATTATATCATTTCCTAATTTGGGGGAGTGGTGGGTATTTTTATATGTTTTTAAGATTTGGTAAGTTTGTACAAAAGCATTATTTATTCCACTCAGTATTTCCTCAGCTTTAATCCTCTGACATCAGGATCATCTTCATAACAATTCTACTTTTACAAATAGAGGATTTTATCTTTAAGGGAGAAACAAACCACCTGATCTGAGGTGTAAACAGCTAGAAAAAGTTCCTGGTGTAGTTCCTGTACTCTACAAGAGTAGAGTAGTAAAAACTGGGGTAAGGTAGAAGAAATCCTACTTCTATGAAGCCAGGGGGAAGCCTGACCATAAATAGGAATCAGTATGTCATCACACTGAAATACGGAAAACATACAGCGACATGAAAAATACCTCTCATTCATGTTTGGTTTTTTCCCCCATTGCGGCACCAGTCACTAAAGCTGCTGTTATAATGCCTCTATAATACGACAGTGACACATATCATTTCACTATTTGTTTTGCTCAAAATGGAAAAAATGCTCTAAATCCAGAGCATCTTGTTTTGTTCTAGTTGCATTCTGGTTGGAACGCTCACTAAATATCACTTGCTACCATTTCCTTCAGAATAGACCCAAGTAGAACCACATCTCTTAACTTTACAAGAGAGAATAACACAATTCTCTGAGAGCCCTGAGAAAGAAATACTTCCAGTTTTCAGTGGTGAAGACAGAGGAGATGGTCACATGCACTCCTAACTGCCTGTCCTCTGCCTACATGCTCAGGTCAATGGCTCTCAACTGCAACCGATCTCTTTGGAATAAAGCGGTAATACAAATATTCATCCCGAAATTCAAATTCGTTCGTAATATGCTGGATGATGCCTCCTTTCATCAGTCTGTCTCCATACATCACAGCTTCACCACGGTCAGAGGCAAGGCCAACTTGCATGAGCCAGTTCACCAGGTCACAGCCAAAGAAGATGCCAGTGGAGATCTTTGCACCACACCTGTATGTCAAAGGAATGATTCACCCACATGTTCTGTAAATCTGGTATCACCACTGCACGATGGGGAAAGGCAAGGAAAAATAGCAGGAAACAAGGAAAGACATCATGATAGTTAAGAGCATGTTAGAAGAGAATTTGTAAGTTTTGTATATTAGGGACATGCCAACGTTTGCTACCTTTTCGTATAGACACTTCAATGAGAAGCAAAATGTAGGTATGAAGTTATTTTAAGCTTGTGCAAATAAACTTCAGTGGACATAAGTAACAATTTTCCTAAAAACACACACAATGTAATTCTATTTCTTGGATACTTACTTCACATGTACTCATTAGCGTGACCATTTCTGCAATAAAATATCTGATTTGAGTGCAGCATGCCTGCTGCAACAGGAACTCAATCTGCACTTTAATTCCATTTTATAAATTCTCTACAGCTTTAAACAGATACTAAATGCTTACGTATATTGTAAACAAAAAACATTTAACTTGCATATCTGGTTAAATAATTACCACACAGGAATAAACAAAACCTTTACAACACGACTAAACTGATTTTCTTTTACATATTTATGAGGCAATGCCACCAACATCTACCTAGTTGCAGTAAAAACACCGTTCAGAAATTTACCTGCAGCAATGAACGTTTCTGGTTATCTAAAATCTGCTCTATGGAACCCAAGCGCAGGGTTTCTGAAGATGATTAACAGCTACACAGCAAAAACCAAACTTCTTTCTCTATTTTTTTTTTTTTTTAAGTTAAAAGCAGCAGTAACATAGAGCAAGTGTCAACATCTATTATCAAAGAAGCAAAAATTAAAATAAATAAAAATCCATGATTACAAGGTCTCAGGTACAGTATGTTTAAATCAAAGAGGATAGGATCAAGTCAGATGAATATTTAAAATGAGAAGATAAATGCTTTCTTTTAAATCGCAGAGAGAAGTAAGACATGAAACTAGTTCCGCACAAATATAATATTAAAACAATGCAGCAACAAATGTCAGATTTTGATGTATTCTCAGGTGATATATGATTAAAAATACCCACAGAACCCAGCCAAATGGAAAGCCCAAAACCCAAGGAACCACAATAGCAGCGGAGGCACAGGAAACACAGCTGTAAAACCTGTCCTATTTAAAAACAAACATTTTTCTGATACATTTTTTTCTGTCTGGCGTGAAAGAAGCAAGTCCTTGAACTGCCATAATTCATTTTTCCTAAATGGATAACTTTATTACTATATTTCTTATGCAACATTACTGATTTCTGAGGAGACTGAATGAAATCATGATGCTGTCAAAAAACAATTCTGGAATGTGATTTCAAACTATTTGACCATTAAAAGACCACCCCATCCCACCAAACTAGTCCTACTTAAAAGCTCACATAACAAGAAAAGTAGAAGTGTCCTGTTAGAACAATTCTTTGTGTCTCCATTTCATACAGTGAATACTTAAATAAAGGAAGAATCTTTTCCTTGTTCCCGCTGCTTCTGTCTGCATTTCTCTTCTCATCCACCTACACATACCTGAATACATAACCCTTGATTTGGGTACCATAATTTGCAACTGAATGCTTTGCTGATATCACAAATTGAGGATTGGGCCTCACGAGAAGAATGAGCAAAAGAAATTGTATGAACTCAGAAGGTGTAAAGGTGCTAAACCCACTATAATCTCATGTATTGAGTGGCCTCTGAGTACACACTGACATCAGTTGCATGGTTTCGCCTCCTGTAAAAGCTATTTATTAGTAAATGTTCAGTCACATAAATACTGACACCTTCTTAACCTCAAAACAAAACAAATGAAGGGTCTCAAGTGTGACAAAACTCATACACACACGCACTCTATTACAGGCATTAACATATACATTTCTTCAGGAAAGATTTTTCTCTCCCGAACTCCAGCGAAGTGCAAAAACTGGGGCCATGCCTTAATCATATAAAACTACTTATAATTTATATAAAACCTGGATGGGATAATGTGATAACTTACACCGCAATGTTTCAGTTTGAGACTAGAAACATTTCTCTGTTGCTGCTAAATTCTTAATCCTCACCTTGAGGTTTGAATAAACATGCCACAATAGGAATTGCCCACAGACAGATTAAACTACAGTTCATTAATTCCCAAAAGGCAAGCTATGACCTTTGTAACAAGTTATACATGCAGGGAGGAACCTTACCTTCTGCCTCTGACAATGCTTTTGACACAGTGGTCTCTATGATAACGAACAAACTGTTGACAGGTCATCCTGATTTCCTCAGGTACAGAGGGATCTGTATGCCCTGCTGCTTCTCTTCCTCCCCAGAGAAATTCAAGTCTTGGGAAAAAAAAAAAGCAAGCAACCAAAAAACCCCAGCAAATGAACCAGAGGCATTTTTAAGAAAAGTGCAAATACTAGAACAGAACTCACAGGAAGCTTATCACAGCTGTTTTACTGGCTTTGTGCCCAATAATTTATATACAATCTTCCTAATAAACTTGTATGGACTTTGAACACTGAGAGGTTTTATTCTAGGCTCAGGCAGAAGGAAAGACAGAGAGCATTTGGGAGCCAGCTTTAGCTGCTGGATTCACACCGCAGCCAGCTAGCTCTAAGTTAAAGATGGCTTTGCAAAACTTACTCCTCCACAGTCAGGTATCAATGAAAGTGTCCATCCACACAAAGCACTTGCATGAGGTTATGAATACAGGACTTTAAAACAGCGATGATAGAATCTGGTTCAGCATTTGCATCTAAGTTTTCATTTATCAGCTGAAATTATTTCTGAAGATCCATCATCTCACTTCTCCATCATTTGCCAAAGATTTTATCTACAGGGAGCCTGTGGGATTTTTGTCTCCAGGATTGTCACTAGGACAGCAGTAAAAACTCAGGCACAGTGAACTGCAATTAGCTCTCCACAACTGGGAGAGAAAAGAAAATTGGAAGATCGAACAGACAGGAAATGGAATGCAATGGCACTGAATACTCAATAAACTTTAAAAATTATTATCTTTAATATCTAAGTTTATAGTGTATGTGTAAAGATTCTATTTACCTTCGCTTGAATGGCAGAATGATTAAATGCTTATCTAAGCCAAAAATACCAAAGGAAATGAAGCCCTGCAGGAAAAAAATATAGAAAAAGCAACTTCAGGCAAAACCTTTGGTTTCTAAGGAACAGCAATAAAATGTTAAAAACTCATTGCCAAAACACACGTGAGAAGTACCCCTCTTCTAGATATCATTCAAAATGCATTTTGTTTCTGCTTTGATTTTTCATTTGGGCCTTAAAAAGACAGATTAATACATAACAGTCCATCAAAGAAACTTCAAGAAACAGTTCAGTAAACCTAATGCTGTGATATGCCATCTCACACTTAAAACATCAGTATCCTTACATAACCAGTCATTTAAATATGTCTCTGTTAACGTCAAGAAAAGAACTGACTTATAGTAATTTGAATGCTAGAATGCTCTCTACTTAATTCATTTTTCTGTGCTGCTTTTATATCAACACTACTATCACTACTTGATATTGCAGTGCATCTTGTAGGCACACCTGTCCAGGGGTCTGTAAAACTTTCCTCTAGTATGTGTATTAACACTGCCTTGCTTTCACCTTCATAGATAACAAAGCTACCTTGTGTCACTTTGCACTGAATTAGGCTATGTGCAGCTGGAACAATTATACATCTGATTGTGAGCTATCATGTAACGGTGTTGTAACTGAAACTGAAGAGATAATATCTTAAAGCCTTATAGTGAAAGCATCCATGTAGCCATCTTGCACCTGTTTAGTTATACTGGTGTAATTCCACAGAAGCAACACCAGTGAAACTTTCTGGCACAAATAAGGCTAAAATCCTACTCAATTTCCATAGGCATTTGGCACTCAGTTGCCATTTGTACCTTTGAAAGTGTTCATGCACATAAAACATGCTCATGCACATGAAAGACATGCATTATGATAAGAAAGCTATCAAAAGAAAAAGCTTGATTAAAAAAAGGCAAAACAACATAAGGAGCTAGTGACTTCAGCATTGTTTGAGGACTTCAACTTACAGTGCTTGTAATGGCATATGCTGCAACACCCACTAACAAAGTAATTTTCAGAACAAACAGTGATAAGTACCTGACCAAAATTAAACACAGCACAGAAGAACTGCAATTCCACATACAGCCTTCCAGGCTCTTGGTTGAAAAGCCACCACAAACAACTGGAAAGATTCTGTTAAGAAAAAAAACCCAAACAACAACAAATCCACAAACCTAAACAGACTGTTAAAAAAATCAAAAGCACTTTCTTATTACTCTTTACATGCTAACAGATTCTTGCACAGTTTTCACTGTCTTTATTTAACAAATGATTCAGATAAAGACAAGTAAGAGGGAATAAACACCTTAAACTTCATTTTAGTTAGGCTTAATAGTGGAGAGAGGGGGAAGAGCTTGTTTGTTTTTAAACAAAATAATGCAAAACATACCAGTGTAGAGGTCCTGCCCCTTTACATGTTTACATAAGGTACTTACCTTAAGCATACTTAGGTATTCAACCTAACACAGACAATATTAGCCCAGACAGATTTGCAGTATTTATCTTTAGGCCCGTTTAGCTGAGACCAGTGCTTTCTACATATTTTCTGCATAGTTAAGATTGCATTAAGCTGAAGCACATGTCACTTCAGCTATTTTAGATGCCTGACAGAAGGCAAAACCTCCAAAGTTAACCCCTTTGGGTGTAAAGGCTAATTCTTTAATGTAACTGGCCTCATTTCATAGTATCTAGGTAATCACTGAAATACAACTAAAATAGAGGCTAACATTTGGGACACCTCTTAAATATAGAAGATGTAAAAAAATATATTAGCATGCAATATTTGATACAGGAAAATTCAATACAGGAGAGAGGGAAAAATTCCAGTTTGTAATTTAACAGGACCTGAAAAGCAACAGTAGTAACTATTACACTACATAGTTGTGCCACACTGTCCTGCTTTGCAGTACTATATATTTGTGCCATAGTATTTTCCATTTCATTGTCATCTACAAGAAGCTCCACTTTGAGCACTACACTCCAGAGAGAGTTGTTTCTCATATTTGTCACAGTTGAAAATTCAAATTATATCCATAATGCATTAGATCCTGGTATTTCACACTTTTACACAGGAGGGATCTAGTCAATAATGATGCTTGGCAATACCAACTTTGCTAGATTGCCTCCAAACCACCACTAAAAGCAACAAAACTGCATTTTCCCATTTCAAAAAGAGTCTTACATTATTATCCATTACTAAAGCACCTCAAAGAAATCCAAATTCCAAATATAAGCATGATCAGATGGAAAAAATTTTTGTACAGTCTCCTTCAGAAGTAGAATTCACTTTATATTTTTAATTGATTATTGTCTTGGGAATAAGACTAGCTCTTGAGAAAAATAGGAAGAGGGGTGGTAGTGATGAATTAATTACCAAATTAGATAATTCAATTTTTTTCCCCCCTTTCTGGTTCTCCAGTGTGGCTTGCTCCCTAACAGCATCAATCTTAACCTACCTTTAATTTACGATGTGGCACCGAAAAATTAGTTTTATTATATCCCTCTTCCAGCAAGGGACAAAATAAAGCCTCTAATTTATTGAATAAATTGTTACATGAGGAATTGGAAGAGTTTTACTGAACTGTCTACATAGCTTTCCCAAAAATCATTCCACCTCAATGAGTTAAACAACATGGGGAGAAAAAATATTTACAGCAAACAGGCCAACAATAAGAAGTAAGCACAGCAGCACATGTCTGGCCAGCTGTTTGTCTCCGCTCTGTAGAAGCTGTTCTTCCTGAGCCAATACGCAGGTTTGAGCACTGCAATGACTCACACACTGATCAGCTGAAAAACAAACCAGAATTTTTCATTATGCTTCTAACTTAGGAACTCCATGAGCAAGCTTGTTAATGTAACTTGCCGAGTTAAATTACCTTATAATTATCTGTACTGGTCACACATACAAAATTTAGTATTATCTGAACATGTTATTGTCAAAGCTATCTATTCTCAAATGAAACAGTAGTTTACATGTGCTCCTAAAATGAAAAAACTTTTTGCAACAGAACTCTTCTTTCACGGGTTTAATGCAAACGTAAGGTGTGGTTAACATTTACAAAACACTACTAGAAATAATGAAAAAAATAGCATTTTCTCAGAACACTTTTTCAACTTAGAATAAATTTCTGGAATAAGTATTTCAAATATACCATCGGCTCTAATGTTTTTACTCTGCAGTGTTGTTGAGCTCTAGATCAGACAATCAACTGTATTTATTTCAGTTCCGTGACTGTATTTTTAACATGGTATATCAGAACACTGTCCTAATTCTATCAATCAAAAGAGCCAAACACACAGGGAATAGATGCTTGTCTTCCAGCTACAGCATTCTAAGGAATTCTGACTATCTTCCTCTATATGGCAGTGAAAAACCTTCCGGCAAGGACATATCTAAGTATTTGCACCAGATACCTGTCATAGCAGTTCAGTGGGATAGTAGAAGGATTAGTAATTATTGCGCCATAAGTAACAGAAGTGTATGCACTACAATTTGCTTTTACTGATTTATAGTTTGAAGTGTTCACTCCATTGGTCGAAAAAATTTCCACTCAATCATAAGATATTTTCTACCTTATGTTTTACAACAAGAAAATTAAACTGGCATTCCTCCATCATCGGAAGACATTCTTATGATGTTTGTCTAAACTGCTTAATAGATAAAATAGTTGGAAATAGGTGGAAAGCTAGCGTAAAGAAGTATGTTTCAGTGTGAAATATTTAGATTTATTGAAAGTTATGCTGCACCCAAACAAAGCATAAGGACACAAACTTCCTTGTTAAGGATGCAAAACACACAAGAAAAAGAAAACAGAAAAAAAAAAGAAAGGTTGCACTGCAGCTAGCTTTGATCATTGAAACCGATGTACGATGAGAATGGGCTGAGCTTGCAGTTTTCAACCAGGTGCTGAACAGTCACTTTGATCCACTTTTTCTGTTTCAGTGGCTCCTAAGCCCCCCTTAGTCAATTTTCTCCATCTCTCTCCCCTAGACATGGATAATACAGTAGCATGGACATTTGATCTAATCTGCAGTAAGTGCTAGATCTAAAGTTTCTAATTCAAAAACCTGTGCATAATTACAACAAAGGTTTCAGAGGCCTTTTTAGAAGACACAAGATGTGAACATGAGCATGTAAAAACGTGTGTTTAAACTGAAAACTTGAGGCAAACTACGGTTATGCATTCAACTTCCCAGTGTCCAAACAAGGCAACGATGGAGACGTAAAGTCTAACATGTCCTTTTCTGAGCATTTAAAGTAGCGTAGTGGTAAAAAAACCCAACACAAAACAACTGTCCATCTTGAGCACTGAAAGATTACTAATAACTATCAGACAGAAGAGAAGAAACACCTAACATACTTCCTGATACTTGAATTTAATATGAAATACAAGTTATTCAGGTAGAGTGGAGAGAACAACAGCCCAAAGAGGTGTTTTGTGAGAACACCACACATAAATGTTGTGGAAGTGTTTATAGTATTAAAACAAGGAGACACACTACTGTTTTACCTGTCTCAATTGGAGGAACCTTGCTTTCAACAGCATTTGACACTGCTTTGCTCTCTCTAGCACAGGATAATTCACCATTTGTTGCTTGACAAGAACAGCAACCTATGAAGCGTATACAGTAACAGGACAGTTAGCTTCCTTCACTACCATAATTTATTTTCCACCTATTACAATGTATTCTATACAGCTTTAACTATTATGTTCAAAAATAAACCAAAAGGAGAAAGCAGACCATTTTTCCAATTCGCTGAGAGGGTAAACGGGTTACACCACTAATATATAGAAATATTTAACACAGCATTACCACCATAGAAGAAACACAAGCACTTTTAGCTAGAGAGAAAACATACGGTATGCATCAAAAAGGCTACATACGAACAAGGAGGATTAGAAACACATTGAGTAGCAATGCTGCAGGCATATAACTCATGCTTAGAGGGAAGGTTTAGTGGGTAAACAATCTAAGACACCTAGCAGACTGCATTTATCACATCCTTATCAAGATACCACTACTTACATAAAAACCATACACATGCTTTTTTTTTCCTGTCCACTTTCCCCACCCTTACAGTGATAACCATCAAATTTTCCTTAGAAACATAAATGTAAATCCTTGGGCAGTTACATCTAGATTTGATTCCGTCCTAGTGTAACTCTTGAAGGGGTAAACAACTGTCCTCCCCAGGTCAGAATTAAATTTGGAACATTATTTTATTGTATCCCAAGCCATTTATTCTTTTACAAATCTACTTTCCCTACCTCTTTCTGCAGATGGCTGTGCAGAAGATCCTGCAGAAGGCTGAGGCACAGTGGCTGAAACTCGATTCCCCTCACTCCCTTCCACTTCAACCTCCTCCACTTGGCTACGCGGTGAATATGGGTTCAATACCTCATAGTTTGACTCCTGCCTATTTCTGTTCATGCACATAAGTGAGATACCTGACATCAATATACTGATGAACAGGATCACTGCTGTGGTAATTACCTGTTAAGAGGGCAAAGAAAATACACTTAAATACAAAATAAAGGAAAATAGTTGCATATATCTGTCTTTCTAACTTCTGTACTTTCCTAAATATAATTACAAATGCATCTGAATAAGGCAGTTTTTTCTGTATTTAATGCTCTTGCATCTTGAGTCACTGAAGGAGCGAGCAGTACATGAGACTGATCTTCCTTGCCTAAGTAACTCAGCTTTTCCCCACCACCACCTTTTTTTCTTTTTCTTTTTTTTTTTTTTTGTGGGCACCCCTATTTTCCATGCAATCCAAACACATCCCCTCCTCATCTTTCCCCTCATGACCATTAGCGCTCCAGTTTAAGTTCTGTTCAAGTACCTTTTAATTCCAAAAAGGAATGTGCTCTAGTCACCCTCTGGCACAGCTCTAATTTCCATGCTTTCTCCAATGGGGAGCATCCCAGTAATTAACTTTTCTTTCTAATCATCTGACACTGATACCCAGAGTCCACTGTGAGGCTATTTTAGTCCTTGTGAAAGTGCCACATGAATAACCCTGAGAGACTCATAGCCTCTATCCATAAGGGGTAGAGGGAAAATGTGACAAACATCTAGGCTAGTGCACTTCACATCCTCTGATAAGAGGAACTATTTATTGTTTAAAACTGTAGTTCAGGCTCAGGGACTTTCAACCCATGATTGTGCAGAGAAGTCTCCCACAGTGCAAGCAGTTACTGCTATACATGTAATGTAGATCCTATCTATTACAGACAAAAAGCCATTAATTAGTTATTGGGTGGTAACATTTTTAGATAATTATCAAGCAAGATTACAAATTAGTCACCAGAAAAAGGGCTCTGCAATTCATTACCGCTCGTAAGTCTTTTCGGGAAACCTACTCCCTCTTTTTCTTAGTCATACCTGCCTAAACATGAAGGTCCTTGTTCAAACAAGTTTTCCTAATGGTTCATTACAGAAATACATTTTTGTATCAATTTATAAGCATTCTATAATTATACTGTTATTACGGTAGCCTGTACTTTGACAGAAAGCTACTTATATAAGAAGCAAACAGAGAACACAATTTCTCAATAATGTATTGAACATGGCAGATGTCAGAAGTGATGAGGACAGAACACATTCGTACCTGATATTTTCCATAGAAAAAGGCAGAGTCAATACTAGTGTTGTTACATTCACCAACAATTAGTAAGATTCCCACCAGAAGTGTTGGGACTCTGGAACAGCAAAATACAAAGAAAGTAACATATTTAGCATGCTCCCACTAATTCTACCAGAAAAGACTTGAATTAACTTACCCCCATCCAGCTATGATAATAAATCCAATGGGAATCTTTATGGCTTCTCTCTTCCTCAACAGAAACAAAGAGAAAGATAGAAAACCTGGAGGAAAAAAAAAAAAAAAAAAAAAAAAAAAAAGCCTTGTTTACTCTTAGAAAGGGAACAGATAAATACAGAGTCTAGAAACTCTATAATGCAACCTGCTCAATAACTAAGATATTCTTCTCAGACCTTCAAATAGTCCAAAATTGTTTTTATAGTTGTATTCTGAGGAAGTAAAATAGAAACACCTATTATCTTAAAAAAATTATATTAATGAAACATTGAAAAAATTCCAGGACATTTTATGTTAAACATCCACTTCTAAATGCTTAGAAAGGTTCACAAGTGTATAAAAGACGTCATAAGAATGTTTAAGACACAAGTAACTAATTTCTTAAGGTATCAACAGCAGTTTTTCTAGACTGACAATCTTAAGTAACCAACAAATAATGTTGTATTCTGTTGTAACATTTCTTTAAAAACTGACTAGTCCTTTATAAAGGATGAAGTCAATGATAAATTTAACATAAAAGTTTTATGTGTTTTTACATATATAACTATACACGGGAACATCTTCTGGAACTGCCTATTCTATTAACAACTCGGAAGCTCAGCAACATTCCCCATGCTGAAGCAAAGCTAGTATTTATGTTAGGCTATACTAAACATGAGCTACCTATTTCAGCAAAACACAAGTACAACTTACTCCACAAAAACACCACAGGAATTAAACCCTTACACTTCTGGACTTAAGAATGGTATAAAAAGTCTCCTGAATACCCAAAGTCTCTTTTATAATCATACATGTAAGGTTCTCCCAGCTTCTTGAGGCATCTTTCAATCCCGCCTATTTCAAGTAATCCCTTCATTAATCATCTACACCTGCAGAACACACGCATTGTTTTTAGAAATTACAATTGCCCGGGAAAGAAATGTTAAAGCTACTTTCTTTGGTATATCTCTTCATTCTGTATTTCCTACTTTTTTGAGGCACTAAGTTTTTAAATCTACTTAGTGCTGAATAATTAAAATCTTAAACTCTGCATTGATTAAAAATCACCAATAAGATTTTGACTAGCTGAAGGGCAACCCATCACAATTGCTCCATTTGTAATTGCTTCTGCCTTGAGAGCAGGTTCTTGTCTTTTGTTACTAGCTAGCAAGGCTGCTGTATCTAGCAAAGACAAACATGACCTGCCTAGGTACAAGCTTCCAATAGCAGAAGCAGTGCCTGACACCAACCCCTGTGTTGCCAGTGCTGCAGCTTGGTGCAGCTTACAAGTATGCATATTTGTAGAACTACATACAAGTGAAAGGAGCAATTACTCTGAAGAATATAATAAAATCATTTTGGTACATTAATCTTTTATTACAGTACCTAGGTTCTGCTATAAAAATCGTACCTGTCCACAGGTAGGTGCTATAAAGTGAGCTGTAGAGGAATATAAATACTAGGATCTGCATGGTGATGTCTTTCTCTTTAACAATGAAATTCCATGCCACCATTCCAATGCAAGCAATAAACTGGAAAGAAAGGTAAGATGCCATCATTTAAATTGGGAAAGCAGGATGACAAGAAAAACTGAACACAGTGTAATATAGCTACAATAAGCTTCAGAACTCCACCCTCAAAATCACTGGAGTGTGATTTTATGAATAGGATAGTTCTCATAGCAGTAAAGCAGTGCAGCAGTAAACTCAGTATTACAGTTATGTCACTGACTACGGTACCCTATTTTCAGGAGGGGTTTTTTGACAGCAATTGTATAGTTCAGGTAAACTGGAAGTAAGGCAAGTTAGAAAAAATATATAATCTTTATATATGTTATAATAAGTAAAAAGTAAAGCTTTTGTTAAGTACAAACCATTTATCTGAAATGATTTGGACATGAAGCTGCAGTCAACAGATGTTTGTTCAGCCAAGAATTATACAAGTTTTCACTCAGTGATACTGAATATATGACAGTTTTAGTACTGAAGGAATCTGAACAGAATTATTATGGGAACAGTAATACAGTAGTTCAAAATTTTAAGATGAAAACTAACTTTGCTGTTATAGACAAGAAGCACCTGCAGCTCTCATACATGACTTTTTTTTCAAATGTGACTCCATAATCAGACCTCAGAGAGTTTACTATATATTTTTCTTTTTAAACTACAGAACACTTCAGAAAGCTCTATCACACAGATATATTACAAGCACAGGCTGTTCTCACTGAATTTAACAGCAGTTGTGCAGTTGACTTCAAGGGAAGAAGGAACATGTACTCTATAGTTTTCTCAGTTTAAATAAAGTCAATTTAATTTGAATAAATTAATTAAAAATAAA